TCTCTCTCTCTAAGCAGCATTTTGGTTTATCATTGATACGCTTGGGCATTTTTTTAGGAGGACCAAAACCACCCTCGAAACTTGCTCTAAAGAAACGCCCCAAAAAATGATAAGAAAGCTTCATAAAAAAGTCACTGATAATCATTTGTTGGACTGCTTCTCGTACACTATCCGAAATGTTCTTACATAATAATTATAGTCGCTAATATCCGCTAATCTGCGAAAACTATCCATTTGAATGATAGGAGGTCGCGCCTACTGGGAGCCTATCTTGCTTTTTTGTCATCAATAAAATTGTGCATCACACAATATCCCTAAATTTCGGTAATTTTGCAACTGATGGCTGATTTTAACTAATTTCTTGATGTTTTGACGAGACATTAACCTCCTGTTAGTCTCTGAAGCTAATTTGATTGGTGTAATACACTGTGTGATAAAGTTTAAGGTGTATGTTTTGTGCATTGTATATTTCACATGACCCGTTTCTTGCAAAATGTCTTCAACACACCCAGAACTACAAATTAAAAATCGATAAAAAAATCGGTTGCGGGTTGAGAATGAAGAAATACAGGAAATTTTTTTGAGAGGCACTAGTCCTTCTCAGAGGTTCTTTAAAGGATCAGAACCTGCATGAAAAATAAATATCCCCCTGTTTTAATATTTTTTCAATAAAAATGTCACAAACTTCAATCCAAACTCAAAAGAGCAGAGTGAAATAATAAAAAATAATAAAAAATGGATTACCATTTTTTTTTCTTCTTCACTGCACATTCCATATTTTATATGTTGTGGTAAGTACCTATAATAATCTTCAAGGGTGACTCGATAAAAAGAAGCTGGAGTACATAGATTTCTGTTTCTTATTTATTTGATGTATTGTTCTATTTCATGAAATATGCATATTTGTTGAATAACTGAAAGAGTAGGGAATAAAAATGAAAACGTCTATGACTGGCTTGAAGAAAAGAGAAGAAAAATGAACATCGTACGTCTATGACTGGCTTGAGGAAAAGAGAAGAAAAATGAACATCATCAGAATGTTTCGTATGTGTCAGTACCTATGCAATGGCGAGAAACCAATTAACATGAACAAAAAACGAAAGAAGAGAATGAGAGAAATATAGCGACCTTTGAGGTGAGGGGACTGTGAGGCTGCCTTTTCTTCTAACATTCTTGCTTAGGTAAGCCGTTTACGGTCCCATCGCCGATGGGAACGTGAAGAATAAGCTATCAAGGATCCAATTTTCAATAGTCATGAATAAATGGGTCAAAATCGTATTAAAACGAGTTATTTGTCTGAAATATGTTCAAAAATTTAATCTACAATGAAAAATAAGCATAAACAGGGTAGTTTGCTCTGTTCTAAGGGCGGGAGAGCTCTGTAATCAAAGAAAACAAGACGCGTGATGTGCAATGATCAATAAACCCCTGCTATAAACTTGATCTACCATGCGGCGCTCTCACAATGGAGCATTTTTGCCTTGTACTTGTTTTTATGTATTATTTATAAAAAGTAAGACTTATAATATTAAACAAAAGCATTTAGGCAGAACAGTATGTTTTTAATTATTTTAGAACTGCGCATTGTTGAGATTAAACAAAGACAAGCTGTTGCCGTGCACGTCCCGGGGCAGGGAGCGCAGCGAGCGGATCTGCTTCAGAACGGCCAGTTCCCCGTGGCATGACGGTTTTTCCCGTTTCGCCACTAAAATATCGATCCCACAGAAAAATTCATTACCCAATTTCGTTCCTAATAAAATTTCCCATCGTCCTGCTGTCAAATAATTACGCTAATATTAACTGTTCAGAAGTTATTCAAAATTCAAACTTTGGCGGCCCCCTCTGCCTCCCAGGGGACTCAGATTTTTCCGGTCCATGTCTAAATCGAATGTCTATAGGGTAGAGATGAATACCTGAAAATTTCATGTTTCTTCCAGAAATGCACGATTCTTATGCTTATCAGCCCCACTATTTGGGATGTGAGGTTTTTGATATGAGCAGGAAATTTGAATTAATGCATGAAAAAATGCTAGTATCTTCTGTAGGAGTTACTTTCAATGATATTTGTCGCACAAATCACATTCCATCTAAATTTTGATGAAAAAACACACATCATTATGCTTAACTTTACATCTTGTCTGGTGGATTACTACAACTAGTGATGCTTTGTTGGCTGAAAACAAAAACGCTGCTTATTGACATTTCGAAATAACAACGTGTTTATTTGTTTACTTGATCAATGAATTTTTAATAAGTAAAGGTGCATTGTTAAACCAAACTGTTTCAAATTGTTCGGAAACGAAATGACCTCATGTCAAACAGTCGGCATGGTCAAATGCCATTTGAATTGTTCAATGTCTTGCATGTTAACACATGAATGCACAACGTTCCTACTAACGCCCACAGATCCTCTCGTAGGTCGATGGCACTGTTAGATTGAGTTTAGTAAACAGAAGAACCAAACCGTATCGAATAAGTTTACTTTAGCAACGCAACTAGACGATTTTTAACTTCAATGAGAAATAGAGCGAGATTTTTGACAATGAGAGACGAGTTCTATGACATACACATGACCATTGCATTCTGATGCATCGAAATGACCTGGCTTGGAATTTTTTCGTAGTATCAAGGCCTTGTACTTTGAGATAGTAGAGACTGCAACTTGCAGTAAATCTCTCCAGTTTGCACTGTTCTTGAGAAAGTCATTCCCCCTGATGAGTGCAATTTGAGGTCGTGACTCCAAAAAATCCAGCTTGAGTAAACATTATTTTATATTGAATAGAGTCATGATGGAAAAATGATACACGATAATAATGATAATAATTTCAGGGAGATGCGCTCAATGCATTATGGTTTTTTCTATCCTTAAATGCTGCGTCAAGTGCTCTACAAGACTCGGAGCTTGGGTTTAAAATCAACTTGATCGATCAAGTCTAATGTTCGCAGATGATATTGAAGTTCACCTCTCATCAAGACCTGCGCTCAAGATACTGCTTGGTGTGATTGAGACATTATCTTCTGATAGCAGAATGGATCGTGGCCTAAAGAGAAGCAGAGTTGTGAATTTACGTTGCTGCAAATGGACATGCAGAAAGATCAAACTTTTTAAGAGGAAAGTTCGACAAATATCTATTTGTAAAAGTAACTATTCTCATTCCAAATTATCCTTGAAAAATACCAAGGATTTCATCAGAATCGCAGACCATACCATAGTGATGCTGCGCAAGGGGTTCAACGAAGTTCAAAAATCGGGTCTACTACTTTTTTACTCAAAAATTTCTAAAAAAAGTATTAATCTTTCGATGCATGTATACGAATTAGATCATGAGCATAAAGTTGTCTGTTAACAATTTTGATGCATTACATTAGGTGCAATGTAAGGGACAGCATGTATTAAATGAGGTTGTTGCATGGGAGAGGGATTTGAGAATAAAACATACGTAGTCATAGAACTTTTCGCTGTAAAAACGATGGTAACATTCAAAGAGTCAAAAATCGAGTCCTAAAGCCCAAAAAAGCCCGTCAAAGTTCCATCAAATTCAAGTTGAAAATAAACGATTTTCATGGGCTGCTGTACAGTTGGTCAAACTACGCGTCACAACACATGGGATTTTCTCCTTGCCATCATTACCCACATCTTGACCGCACGTTTATCTAGTGGAGGGTAGGTTAGGGTAAGTCATGTGATTGAGAGGCGTGGGAGGGAGCCCTGTTTCAAATCGTTTCTGGACTTTCGACGCTTTTTCTCCATGTTCCAATCATCAGAAAATGTTTAAAAAATACCTCAACAATCAGCACACCTCCAACTTGTAGAAACTGAAATAACCCCATTATTGATATAGGACTTACAGCTCATGGAACTGACTTTGTACACCTTGTATTACCTTCATCATGCTTTATAACTTCGAAATTGAGTCAGTGTTATTTTGTTGATAAAGCTCTTTAAAATTTTTTTATTAATTCTAGGGCTGAAGGTCTCTAATGGGTACCTCTCCTTCAGGATATACAATCCAGAAACAGGAGCAGGTATAACAAAGAACAAGTTTCATTTATAAAAATAACTTACTTGTTGTTGCATAGGTTGAAGTCAAGGAGGGAATAGAAGGAATCACTCCAACTGCATCATCTCCGCTTTTGGGGGGAGGTGATGGGAATAAATGGCTTGTTCCTGGGTCTGGAAAATACTGATTGCTGTTTCCAGCAGACTGTGAGGGTGCGTTCAATCCAGAAACTCCGTTGTTCGCGACGTAATGATATTGTTGAGGAGGATACATAGCACTTGGATTATAATGACTAACTGGCTGCTCTACAGACATTATCACGTTGGACTTATTTGAATCAAAAGCTCCAACGTTACAACTAGAAATAGCAGGAGAATCAATTAATGTTAAATTGGGATTACTTTCTCCTTTCATCTGTGACATAGGGTGACTTGCAATATTAGCACTACTAGAAGAGCAATTGAGTTGGTTGTTATATTTTTGATTAAACGAGGGACTCATTAATGTTGAAGAGCTTGTCTCGTTCGAGTTCACCGGAGCAAAGTGATTTGACTGAAAAGTACAATCACTATTACTGGGCCCAGTTCCGACAGTCGTTGAAGCACCCATTGCAGTTGGATGTTGCGATGAAGGCGGCAAATTTTGTGCAAATGTTGGAGCCTGCAGGATGGAGCAAGCAGTTCCAACAATAGAAGCAGATTGACTGAGAGACTTTGATCCTTCCGAAGACACAGAACTCTGGACCCCTCCAGATAATGTTGTCTGGTTTCCATTGTTCAACCTCATTGATCCGATAGCATCAATAGCGTAATTGAGCTTGGATGCATCTACTGCAACCATAGATCCCTAAGCAAGAAAAAATAAATTACCTATTTAAAAAAATGAAAAAAAAAAAAAGCAACAGGAGGAAACAGAGTTTTCCATCCGTGATAAGGTAAACACTTATTATCAGCATCTCAAAGTGGTCCCATGAAGATTAAAATAAGTAAGGCGGGATCCAAAAGATGTTCATACTTTTTTTTTTTCATACAAAAGACCCCGCACACCTCTTATGGGAAGGTGCACCATGACCGAATACTAAATTATTTATGTCATTCGATTCTCCTCAAGATGCTGATCAAAAGTTATAATTGCGCCAACTTTCTACGATGCACCGTTTTTGCAAAAAAACCGCCGAGAAGATTCAATTATTCGGCGATAAAAAGCCAGAAAGATTCCTCATTTCAGTACTCGATTGACAAACGGCTTGGTGTCAACAAGGAAATCATGGGAATTCCCACACCTAGTGGCAGTCTTATCTCAGATTCTGCACGCCGTTTTGCTCGACCATCCAAATCAGATTCTTGAGGAGCATAAGAACAGGAAAGTCGGAACGTCAACTGGACGAGAGCGGGAGGGAGATAGCCCCAGAGTCGGCAGGAACAGATAAGAAGATGGACATGCGCTACGTTTCTTCCTTATTTACATCGGGCCTGTTCTCAAATGCTTTGTTCATTTTTATTCATTGTTGCCGAATAGTTGAATCTTCTCAACAGTTTTTTTTTTTGCGAAAACGGTGCATCGTAGAAATTTGGCGCAATTATAACTTTTGATCAGCATCTTGAGGAGAATCAAATGACATAAATATATTAACATTCGGTCATTGTGCAGCTTTCCATAAGTGCACAGTGTGTCAAAACCCCAATCTAGCTGCTCAAAACCCCCCTTATATCAAGTCAACAAATGGTGTTATTTATGGTCAGAGTGGGTCCACAGGCACCCACTGGTTACGTATCTATCATGGTTATCACAAAAATAAATTTTTTAAAATGATAGGGATTGCAGCCGGTGAACGTCCAGCCTCAATCCCGCCATCAGGAGTGGTGCCACTGTATTGCTTTTTTTTAGAGTACTTCGTGGCGAAAAAGGCGGTCATTTCTGGATGAAACGAGATGCCAAAGGCCAGAGAAAGGAAATATGACCGTTGATTTCTCCAAAATCATTATTTAAGTATTATAATTGCTCATTAAAAACAGTGCCCAAGACCGTTTACTTTTCCTGGCTTTAATAGAGCCACAAAAGCGCGGAACTACACGGAACACCATGAAACTTATATGAGAGTGTTCAGAAAACTATCTAGATTTGAAATATCTTTAGTTTTACTGCGACCTTCCGCGACCTTGAGAATAAGAGCACATTTTCTTCGGCGATTCCTAGTGTAAAAGCGTGCGGGCGGCGTTATGCGATATCCCCCTATAGGCTGTCACAGGTGAATTGAGACGGAGGCAGCATCTCACCACGCGCGCTCGGACCCCTGATTTGAGTGAGCCTTATCATGAGGCTTTTCACCGGAAGAGATAAGTCGGTGTGGTGGCCCAGTTGATTGCATCCTAACTTATTACCTGCATGATCCGGGTTCAAATCCCGACCACGGTCAATTTTTTAAAATTTTATTTTCTTTCATTACGATTTTCCCATTATCTATACTGTCATGGAGGGGGGAGGGGGGTCCTCGTAAATACAAAGTTGCATCGTACTTTTAACAAGTTTCTTGTATGATTTGTATTACTAATGAGGAAAGGTTTCGGACCATGGTTTATGAAACGTAGGAAAATGAAAAGGAGGGGGGGGGGGGNGCGAGGGAAATTTTCCTTTACAGGCAAACATTTTAAAAATATTATCTTTGACTTGTCACTTGGAGTTGCCGAAACGTATCATTTTAATAATATGGAATTCATATTTCTTTGGATGGCCAAATGAGAAATTCGCCATTTTGAACTGGAATTCATAAGCCCAAGACATCCTCCAGGACTTATTTTGGATCGGAAAACACAATTTGACTAATTTTTGGGGTTCATCAGGTCACATAAGGCGCCTAAAATTTAGTTGAAATTTTACGATTTTTACATGAGTTGAACAGGATTTTTAGATGGCCGCCATTTTGAAAATTTTGATGACTGAGTTTTGAAATTTTCGGTGAACCTCCTTCAAGCTTACACTAATGTCTCTGCGAAATTTGGTGGTTATCCGACCAAATTTAGAGACGTGAAGAGGTTTTGAGCAGCTAGATTGGGGTTTTGACACACTGTGAAGTGGTGTGCAGGGTCCTTTTTCATTTTGACTCAAAATGAACTACTGTGATAAAAATCAGCCAATTCTCAGATGTGATGGACAGGTGACAAAGATTCATGCCACGAGGGTGCAGAAAGTTCAAAATACCAACCATAGGCTGCTATCTGACATTTGGCTATGACACATTGGCTGACGTCAGGCTCTAATCTGCCTCACAGCCAAATGTCCTATTTTATGACAAAGTGCCCAATTTCCCAGGAAGATGTGCAATTCGTGCGACTTTCTCTCAGAATTGAAAAAGGTCACCCCTTTTGAAAATTTCTTCACAACTTAAGATTCGCACCCTGTTAGCTGTGATTGTAGGATAGGGAGATTGGACATTTTCTGCACCCCTGCAATGCCTTACTTTCATTCCATGGGTTAACTGGCACGTTGGCATGGAATGACCCTGTTGTTCTCAATTGTTCTCATAAATTCCACGGTTATTATACACTTATTTTGGTTTTAGTCATCTTTTAATTAGAAAACTTGGTGAGTAAAGTTAGAGGCTGTAGTTTTCAGAAAATTACTCCACTGGTAATGATGACTTACCGGAGGAGATGATTTCAAGAGAGGAGGTTGTGGAACTTTGGAGAGTTTGCGCACAGCCGCCTTGTCAGGTGAGTGTTGTCTTACAGGGATACGATGCAAATATCCGTATCCAATTCCGCAACCCAAACTGTGGACATCACAAATGAGGTGTAAAGAGCGACGCCAAGAATTTGGGCCAGCGGGGATTTTTCTAAAACCAGGCCCAAACGATACCTTATGATACCCTATGTGATGAATGTAATAAAAAATTCATGTATTTAATTTTTTTAATTATTACTGCATGTCAGGCCGTATTGTTTATATAACGTTGTTATAGAATAGACTTTGTAGCATTATCTCAATAAAATATGCAAACTTTCAGAAATTTAAAAAAAAGAAGGAAAAATGTAGAGAAAAAATTTAAAAAAAAAAGATTAAAACAGTCCAAATAAGAATTTAAAGAATTTTTCCGGGATCTAAACTCTACTGGGGACCAACAGTTTCACTTCATTTTTAAAAGTTTCACAGAGGATCTTGATTTGTCCACTAATCCCTCATTTTTGACCACTGTGCGATGTAAATTTGTGAAGCTGAACACAATTTCATGCACTGAGGACCGATTAGAACATTGTTAGCCACGAAAACTGCAGCAGACCGACAATTTTATTTCCATGTTTAAAAATTTGACATGGAATCCTGATTCGTCGACAATTTCTCCCCATTTTGGACCACTTTGCGACCAAAATTTTTGAAACTGAACACAGTTAAATGCTTGGGGGCCCAATAAGAACATTTACAGTCGAAACCCATCAAAGGTGTAACTTTTTCGTCCATTTTCCCCGTCTTTTTGCTACAGAAATGCTGTCCAGAATGATGGCGATTTGGCAACTTTGCCCCCTCATTTCTCAAAAACCGTGCGTATACTCAAGCTAAAATTTTAACCAGAGTTTTGGGGTATCATAAGGTATCGTTTGGGCCCAGTTTCAGAAAAATCCCAGCTGGCCCAAATTGTGCCAAAAAACGGTGTGCCAAAAAATTAGCGACGCTCTAAGAGCGTTAGATGCATATGAAGCATACGAATATCAATTTGACAAGGATTAAACTTGATCTTGTGAGAGATAGAAAATTTGAAAAATGTTTCAGGAAGATAACACTTCATTAAACAATTTCAGAGAGAGAGAGGGTGCCAGAAGTTCCACGAAAAAATTGCATGCAATTACCCCAAATTTTTTAATTCAATTCTAAATGTTTAAGGTCTACTGAGAATTTAGGTATTGTTTAAAAAATGCACAGTCACCGGAACTTTGAGAAAAAGCTCCCCAAAGTCAAACGCAATTTGAAACCGGTTTTTTCCCGCGCTTCGGAACTAGGACACTGTTACGTCACATGGTATACATCCAGGTTCGCCCTATGTCAAATACGCGTAAATACAGTCTTTGTGGAAATTCGCGAAAAATTTATTTTTTGGTTGTCTAGACTTGATTACTTTGCGCCGCTAAAAATTTCAGGATGTGGTTCATAATTTTAAAACAATTTGAAAGGCTCTCCATCATGATTTCTTCGTGAAAAAGGGAGTTGAAATAGAGCTTTTCGTGTATCTTCTGCCGCCGCCGGAAGCCGTGCGGTCAGTCCGATTCGGGTGCACCCGGACTGCTTCCGCAGTGTTCATGCTTCTTAGCCAATCAGAGCTCAAGTTGGACTCACTCAGAAACAAGAGACCCTTTTACTTTCGGGGACTCAACAATTCCTTATGAACAATTACACTAGGCAACAAAAATTTGGGTTGAATTTGCCAATCGAACGGGACCTGTTTCTTTCTACTCAGGGGGGTCGACTGAAGACTAAAATGAAGGCCTAAAAAATTCCCTAGCTCTGGTTTTCCAAATCTTTAGGGTTTTTTGCATTTTTAAGGGTAAATTTTGAGTATTTAAGGGGATTATTCAAATAATTTATGGCCAGTTTCAATAAATGTTTCCAATTGACTTTAAACTCGGTTAGCCTTATTCAGATGGGTCTACTGAAGACAAAAATGGGCGCAAAAAAACAGAAAGCGTATTTTTTTAATTTTCAGGATTTTATTTTAGTCAAAAAAGTATGTATTTTTAGTCTTTTATGGGGTTTTAGCGGACTCAGAGCCCTTGATTCATGATTCAACTTTGAAATGACTTTTAAAACGGCTAGAGACTATGTATGTTCTCGTTGTAC